AGCTATCTTTAGTTTTTCCTGAACATACAAAAGAAAAACATGTTTAAACATCATAAACAAAATGGCGATTTATAATGACTATAAGCGGTAAACAAAATAAAAAAATGAAACAAATAAAACACGCTCATCTTCTTATTTTATGTTTTCCCGTCTTATGATGTAACTGCTCATGAACAGAAGGATCGAGGATACTGTTTTGGTTGCTAGCGACAACGGTGTGTATCTGATTATCTCGACTGGACGATGTGTTGTACCAATGATATTAAATAATGAGTGACTCATTTTTGTGGGTGCTTTTTTTAATTTTTTTATTTTAACATTATTTATCTCAAGTCTGTATCAGTTTCACTTCTTTATTCGATTGTCACTCGAATTTGTACACATCTTTAGTAATGTGTGGTTCAGAGACAGATACTGAAAATCCCACAAACAAGTATGATGAGTGTTGTTTAAGATCTATCAGCCAAAAATGCAATGGTAAAATATGTAAAAGTAAGTTTCCTAAGAACTAAAAATGAATTTATTAATATAATTATCATTGTTATGAAAGAATTATTTAATTAACTAAGAAGAACGTGTTTTGTTTGTTTCATTTTTTTATTTTGTTTACCGCATATAGTCATTATAAATAGAGACTTAAAGCCGACAAATGCTTGTATTATTAGGAGTAAAAAAACGGCACGCGTTGAGAGTTTTTCATTGTAAAAACAACTCATTTTAGACATCGCGTATCTATTGACAACGTAAATTCCAGTATAGATTTCGCTTTTAATGTTGAATCAGTAAGCATCAATTGCTGAAGATCTTTGATGCGACTGATTTTCGGTAGATTCTTAAAACTGTTTCTAAAAACAAATATTGCAACGAGACTCAGTATACTCTATACTCAATCATCCCCCTGACTGATCGAGGCCTCCTTTCAGCAATATGAAAATCTGGATGCTATTATGACGTGGTATTATAGCTCTCTAGCTACCAGAGTTATAAAACTGTTCTTTCAATTCAGTTAACAGCGACCGCCAAAGACGTAAAAGTCTTTTTTTTTCTCTCGCTGAAATGCAAGAAAAAGTATTGTAATACACTAAACTCACTGTAAGAAAAATCATTTAGACCTATACTAACAGTAACTTATTGCTTGGAGTATCTTTCCGGGACTTTCATATAATTTGTTACTGTTCGGGTCTCGGCGTCTGAGTATGTTCTTTTATTGAAAATTCTTTTCGCTCTAACAGTTACTGTCTTTCTGCTTCGATGGAGGCTTCACCATTGTTTTTAGTTGTTTTATAAATTTATTGATTCATAGTAGAGAAGGCCAGCCATAAGATCATTTTAGGCCTAAAAGGTTAATTTTTAATTGCTATGGTGTTTTTTCTGTGTAAAAACAAATTTTCTTCTCTCATTTTCTTCGCGCAATTTGGAGTGCTTTTCGAAGGTAAGAAGAAAGAATTGGAAGAGAAAAAAATATTATTATATTTTCGCGTCGCTGCACTACTTATAAGGAAAAAGATTCATTTAAGATAAATTTTGATAATAAAAACTTTTCATCTCAAAAAACAGAAAGATGGTTACGCCAACAGAGAAGAAAAATGTTTGACTAATATGACTAGGTATACGACGGACCAAATAACCGACTCGGGCAAGTTCGAATTGGACACTGTTTGACTCGTACATTAACCGATTCGGACATATTCGAACAGAACATTCAAACACTGTTCGACTTTTTTCATTTCTGTTAAGTGTCTGCTCAGTGCAGAAATTTGACGAGTTTTAAGTGTTTAAATCACAACAGTGGCTAAAATAATCGAAGATGCTCCGAACTCGCAGGAGTCGGCAAAGCTGTTATTATTTATTCAACTCTGATATCGTTCAGACTAGTACTGAAGAAAGGACGCGACTTTTGAAATACACAGACTGCGACTAGATGGTTTTCTGTTATTTTAAGTCTGATTTCCCCACTTGATTACTAGTGTTTTTCTGCGATGTCGACTTACCTCTCACGTGGAAAAATTTTCCATTTTCTCATAGCATTAAGAGCCCTTTACGCTTAGTTCTGAGAATAACTCTTACTTCTCGAGTCTCTCATATATAAGTGTCAAGCACCCTAGGAGAAAGTCGTTTGAACGAGAAAAATTCAAAATTCGCTGTTCATTTTGAATTTTAGTGTAAATCCTCGAAAAACTACTTGTACTTTATATCAATTGCGACATTTTATTTTTATCTGAGCTCTTAATCGAAACCTTAGACGACAATAAATGTTTTTGTTTAGCATGCTCACAAAATTCACTCTACTGTCCTTTATTTTTGAAGCATACTAAGGCACAAGCACTTTTCCTATAAGTCAAATGAGTGAAAAACCTCTTCTCCTCTGCTTCATAACAGTTGAAGTATTCTATCACTCGCTTTTCTTTATTTCCTATAAACTATAGTTTCCTTGTTCGTTTTTTACTTTTCTCTTTTTTAGATTTCTGTTTTAGTATTTACTCAAAACAAAGTCTTTGTAAAATCTAAACATAACTGAGAGTCTAATTCACAAGCAGTTCAAGAAAATGCTGCACTCTTGCGAATACTTTAAGAAAAAGTTTAGCAATTAGTGTACGTTTTTGTTTACTTATTTTGTACACTGGCGGACCAAACTCGACATCCCTTTTACATTTTCTAGCACAAAGGAAACCTTTTTTGTCAAAAAATGATAAGCTAACCGATGTGGATCATAAATGAGAAACGTTTTTATTTTTGCTCGACCTATGTGTCTAGTTCTTAAGAGAGACTTAAAATAGTACTGCTGGACAAGGTTGTCCTAGTAGTTAGATCATATACTAGTCCATAAGTTGTTCAATATGATATAGAATGACCTTCTTTTTTCACTTTATGCATGTGTTTTTCTTTTTTTGTGAACAAAGACATTTATACGTATATCTTTTTTCTTTTTCGCCCAAGTGAACTAACATTCTTCTATCTTCTTCATTTATACAATACTATGTGTCATTCTTCCAGATCATTCTTTCTCAGTTCTTATTCATATATATATATATATATATATACTTGAACTGTTTCATAGTTAGTTCGGCTTTTTAGGAAAATTAAATGAAATCATTTGTACATTTTGATTCTTTTTTGTTTTATAGCCGAGATATTTTTTTCTACCTTGTTTTTCTATTGACAGTTTCATGGAGAGTCTGAGTGAGAAATGCTGAGAAACAGTAAAGTTTAGAACAGGAATGAGATTACAACCGAAAGGGATTTTCGAGTAGAACTGTTGATTAGCTGAAGGGGATTGTTATTTTTCTTTCTCTTTTACTCATTTCTTATATTAAACAAGATTATTTTTTTTGACACATTCAAGCGTGCTTCTAGTTACACAAGTAGTAAATTAGACTCTATAAAACTGTATAGTAACAGTGAGCACAAAATGCTTAGCACGTCAATTTACCTACAATTTTAGACGACTAAAAAAAAGCTGTAAATTAATGAGAGAAAATAGCATTTGAAAAAAGTCGATCAGTGTTTGAATGTTGAACAGGTCCGACTCGGATAGTGTCAGAGTAAAACACTTTTGGAGTCAACCAGTGTCCGAATGGAACATACTTGAGTCAAACATCGGACATTTATCCGGTCCGTCGTATACCTAAATATGACTTTGATGAAAAACGTCGCTAAAATGCAGCATGCGCCACGAGTAAATATAGTAAGGTGTGATACAGCCAGGACTTTTGAAACAATTGAACACATATTATTATTTGCAGTTTGATTATCTATTTATATTTCTAAATTTTTTATTTAAACAGATTATTTAAATTATTATTTAGAAAAGTAACAATATAAAGAAAGAGAAAGACAAAAGAAGCGAAATTCAATGGTACAGATTCGTGACATCACATTACCGCGAAGACTTGTTTATTGGAAAAGAAGATTAAATGAGGCTGGTTTTGCATTTTGCATATCATGTTTTCAAACTTGAATGAAGTTATGTGGTGAATAGTCATTATGTGATACAGTTACAGATATTCAGTCTCACTGCTTATCGTGTTTGACCGGTTCTTTCTTCGGTACACGATAAGCTGAAGCTCACTATTTGTTAGCATTGGTTTGTATATAACCATGATTTTTATAGCAGTGCAGAACCCGTAACACAACATTACGGTGAACAGAACCCCGACTCTTTCACAACTTTTCCACATTTGGATACTTTTCGCAGTGTTCGCAGGAGGTGGTGAGAGGGGAGGCAGTGTGAGAGTGAGTTCGAAAAGTAGTTTCACACAAAACATATTGTCATGATGCGAAACTGTTTCTGTAACTGTGTCACGTAATGACTATGCACCACGTAACTTCACCCAGGCTTTAAAACATGATGTACAAAATACAAACCAGACTCATTTGTTCTTCTTTCCCAATAAACAAGTACTCGCGGCAATATCGTTCGCGGTAATGTCGATGTATCTGCAGATCATTCAGTACCACTATACGGTTTTCTTAAAGGTCTTTCTAGATCACTATATGCTACAAAGGAAAGGAAAAAGAAAACAGTGTTAGTTTTCATGATATAATACTTTAATTATTGAGAGCTATTGTTCTTCCTTTCGCTTCTCTCTTTTTTCACTTTTATTGTTATTTGAAAAAGAATGAAAAAAACATATGTGAAACGAGAGATGATTGCGAACTCACGCTTTGTAAGATGATTATATTTTGATTACTCGTATCTTACTTTTGCGTAGGATGAAAGGGAGAATAAGAATTGGTAAGTGAAGGGAGAATAAGAAGTGAAGAAAATATGCAGTGCTAATGCTCTCTCTTTCTGTTTCATGCTTCATCAACGATGGATTGAGAAGGAAACCTGTAACCTGTTTTCTTTTATCGTAAGAATTTTGAAAAAAGGTGTGAAATATTATGAAGACAAAACAGGACTTGGGTAGTTGAGCAAACAAATGTACAGATTAGAATTTTTTTGAAGTCTGAATGTATTGTACGTCATTTAATTTTCAGATAGATACATAAGTTCAATAATGGCAGATAATTGTGAACAAGATAATAACACAACTTTCCTTCCATGCTTTTTGTGGCTGGACAATTGTATTACAGAACCACCACCAAAATACACTGACATAATAAAACCTTTTAGTTGGTCATTTTTTGCAAATGATGATGCATGTATCGAATATATACGTGAAAATAAAGACAAAAAAATATGTTTTATTACATCGGGAATCTACGGTAGCAGTGTTGTACCACTGATACATGAACTGGTTCAAGTCGAATCAATATTTATTTATTGTATGAATGTGAGAAAGCATCAGAATTGGTCAAGATCATTTTCGAAAGTACACGGTGTATATTGTGATCAAGCAGAATTGCTTGTTTCATTAAGTAAAGATATTGCCGATTTCCATATTCAACTGGGCGATACATGTTATCAGAGAAATAATGAAAAGGCACCTCGATATGACTATTCAAAAGCATTAGACATTTTACAAACGTCTAATGATACATTATCATTCGATCACGATACGTTATTACTTCTTACTGATTTTAAATCTAAACTCAATCGCTTTAGCATGGAAATTATACCACAACAAATAATAGCTTCATATCAAGAAGCTGTAATTGATGTACCCATTATTCAAAATCAATCTATTCTGCTAAACAAAAGAGCAGCTGAATTAGAAAAGCTTCCATCAAATAAAGAAGATATAACCATTGTTTGGCTGGACAAATATATTAATGATGCGATTGAACATACAAAAATTTTATTGAATAAAATTAACGATTACGTGCAAGTTTATCGAGATCCATATCAATGTTTAAGTGATATAGAGTCGAAACAAGAAAAGATTTTCCTTATTATCACTGGTTCATATGCGGAAAATTTTCTAACTGATTTTCATATAAAGCCACAAATCGATTCAATATTTATTTACTGTGCAAAACGTGAAAAATATACAAATTTATTGCAAAAATATAATAAAATAATCGGTTGTTTCGATCTGGAGCAGGAATTGATCAAAAGTGTACATCAGACTACAGAATTAAAATCCTATGCAAATTTTTCTTTATTGGATAATAACAATCAGCAACAACATTTTCTAACGAGACAATCAGCACTATTTCTTTGGAATCAATTATTGCCAGTTGTTTTGAATGAAATAAAAAATGAATTAACGGTCCAACAATTGCTTAATCTTTGCGAGGTGTATTATAGTAATAATTCGCGTGAATTAAAAAATATTAAAGATTTTTATGAGAACTATTGTTGTAGTAAAGCAATTATCTGGTACACAAAAGACTCCTTTGTTCATAAAGTACTGAATAAAGCTCTTAGAACACATGATCATGAAAAATTAAATGCGTTTCGATTTTACATACAAGATTTACGTGCTCAATTATATGAGTCATACCAGATATTAAAAAAGAGTGAACACTCGATCAGAGTTTATCGTGGTTTGTGTTTATCCAGTGAGGAATTGAACAAATTGAAAACAAACATTGGAGGTCTTATATCATCCACTGGATTTCTATCAACAAGTAGAGATCGAACTGTTGCACTCATGTATTCAGGACAATCATCAAATAAGTCTCACATTGAAAATGTTCTGTTTGACATTTACTGCGATACAACAACTTCGTCAACGATCTTTGTTGATATATCGAAATATAGTTCCTTTCCAGAGGAACAAGAGGTACTGTTTGATCTCGGAAGTGTTTTTGAAATTTACAGTGTTGAGCGTGATTTATCTTCAAATTGCTGGACAGTAAAATTGAGAACTGAAAATCGATCAGTAGAAATTGTGAATAATCTGATCAAAACAGCGAAAAAAGAAATGAACCAGGATAATCTGTTATTATTGTTTGCTAAACTAATGCTGTATCTTAATGAATATTCGAAAACCGAAGATTATTTTAAACAAATATCGAATACTATACCAGAAAAACACACTGACATTGCACGAATCTACTCTAATATGGCCAGTATACATCAGATAAGTGGTAAGTGTAATGAAGCACTACAAAGCTATAAACGAGCGTTAGAAATGCAATTATATCAGCCCGAGATTGCATCAACATATTGCGATATTGGTGATGTCTACCGTAGCAGTGGAAATTATTCAAATGCATTAGTTCATTTGGCTAAAGCACTTGAAATTCAATCTAATTGTTTACCATTAGATCATCCGGATATTCAAAAGACACTATATTACATTGGAGATGTTAAACACAAAATTGGTAAGGTCATGATTGTGTAACAATAGAAAATTCTCGAGGATGTATGCTCATATTTAGTATTTCCTGGAATATATTATTCACTATTCACGTTTAGATACAATAGCTTTAAAGAACGTCAAACCAATAACTAGAAAAGCATCAAAACGAAAAATAGGTGAGATGAAATGACAATGGAAAAAAGTTCCTTATGCTTATTAATAGTGATTGTGTCTAACACAGATAACAAAAACACACATGCACTAAAGAAACAGATCATAGACCAAATCCACGCCACAACGGCGACAACTTCTGTTGAAGGAATGGAGAGTTCACCAGGTAAATGATCTTTTAGCTTTGCAATAATAGGTGAATCAAACGTTTTTGTTACATTCAACAGCTACATTCAGCTGGTTTTTCTCGATCAAACTTAACACTATTTCCGTGAATATCATGCGTGATTGTAGAGAACTTTCTGGCGTTTCAGTTCATATATAAATAATTTTTATGTTAAGTTTCAGTCAATAGAAAAAGGAGTGTATGAGATGTCGTCTCAAGGCACTTTAGATCATCTAAGTCTTTTAAGTAGTGCTCACAGTTATATTACAATTACGCGTTCGAACATATTAGTTCATGCTATTTGAGAGAAATTTAGATAAAAATTAATGAAGTTTTCGAAAAGCAGAAAAATGAACTTCTCAAAAATCGCTCAAACATTTAAGAGTTTTTCTGATTATCGGTATCTACTACTAAAATCATATAATTTATCATTTAAAGATAGTCCGCATAACTGTGACATACAAAGGAACGATAACCTCAACAACTCTGATATTTTCTAATTGCACAATATTGTTAGTTAGGAACTGAGATATTCTGGGTTACCCATTGCCTGAGTTATTCTGGTTTAATAACCAGTTTTTCGGAAACTTTAAAAAATAACCAAAACCTTTTCTTAATGAGTTAGGATTATAGCCCGGAAATTTCTGATTAAAGTGAGACATCTCCCAACTCTAGAAGACCTTTCTTTGCACAGTTATAGAATTTGCCTAGACGTTCATTGTCCGCTCAAAGCTACAGAAATAAGGAAAAATCTAATTTAGACCTTCTCTTGTAAATTCTATACTTTGCAACGAAAGGTCTTCTAGAGCTGGGAGATGTCTGATTTTAATCAGAAATTTCCGGGCTACAATTCTTAGTCATTAAGAAAAGGTTTTGGTTATTTTTTAGAGTTTCCGAAAAACTGGTTTTCCAGAAAATCGCTCTCTGAAAACCTAAGGGTAGCTGATATGGTGATATTCGAAATCAGGGTAGCCAATAATCTATGACCCACTTGAAAAAAAACAATTTTTTGCCTACTAATTTTGAGGTACTAAGGGTTTTACGGTCAGCCGGGAAAGCTATTCGGAAAAATTTACTTTCTGCGTGGATAAACATCCCACGAGCTGCTCTTTCCAATGATGAGAATCGCAGGTCTTTAGGTCTTTTCGTTCCGGAGTTATAAGCGTTTTGTTCGCTCATCTTATTTTCAGAAATATATAATAATTGATCTAAAGTACCTTGAGACAACATCTCGTACACTCCTTCTTTTGATTGAAATTGATGTAAAACTTGTTTATATATGAACTGAAACGCCCAAAAATTCCCTACAATCGCACATGGTATCCATGAAAATAGTGTTAAGCTTAATAGAAAAAAAATAGTTGAATGTAACTGCGACAAAGGCTTGATTCACGCGCTAGTCTTTCACTGTTTCATTGTACTCTTAGGGACGAAAACGCCAACAGAGAGCACAAAAGATGAATTGATGAACATTGCTGATACTACCCCAGATCCTGTCCTTGTTATTCTGTCTGATTTAAGTAAATGTATAAAGCAGAATCCAACACTATTTAATGAGAATATCCAATATTATTCTGATACCACTAGTTGTTTAAAGTACGTGAAGTCAATATCAGATCGCAAAGTCTTATGCGTTGTTCCAGATACGTTTGCCAAACAATTATTACCGGAACTGGATGGTCTCGAACAAATTAACTCGGTATATGTACAATGTTCTGACAATGATCAAAATACAAATAATTGGACAGATCAGTGCAAAAAAGCAGTTGATATACTGGATGGGGACTTGTACTTTAAAGTTGCACATGACTTTGGAATTTTCTATAGAAATCAAGGAGCCAAATGTATGAAAGATAATCAGTTCGAACAAGCAGAGAAAAACTATAATCGTGCTTGTAAATATTATTCGATGCTTGAACAGGATGCAGATAAAATTTAACCTACTGGAAAATTTTGAAACACAGAAGCGTTTAAAACGAGCACGTGTGCAAGGTTTTTAAGAAAAATCACAGATCACACGCACTTTGAATGCGTCTGTGTTTTCAAATTTTCCAGTAGGAAGGACTATTTCGAGATGTATAAACCTCACAGACACTTACTTAGAGCAGTCGGAAAGTTCTCGAATTATTTTATCTTACTCACTGCACCTATCCAGGTAACCAGAATCCTAAGAATTCTAGAATCCTAGAATCCTAAAAATCCTAGAATCCTAATAACTTGCCAAGTACCCTTAGAAATTTGCAAGTGAACAAGTACCCGCTCGTAAATACACATAACATGGAGAACTTCCCTTTGCTGCAAACTCAAACTTTCTATTAAAATTTGTCTTGCCGCAAATCAAACATTTAAAACTTTGCGAGGTTGTGATATCCTTAGGATTCTAGGATTCTTAGCATTCTTAGAATTCTCGGATTCTTAGGATTCTGAGGGTGTGTGGGGCGAGAGTGAGGGTGTGGAGTGAGAGGTGTGGGGTGAGAGTGATGATGTGGGGTGGGGGATGAGGCAAATGACCATCGCACATAGTGAAGGGCGGCCTATTGAAAGTGAAAAGAAAAGTGAACGGAGAGAAACAGAAATAACGGATCAGACTATGATTATTATTGAATTTGCTTGTTT